TTACAAACTAATACGAAAATATAAATAAGTAAGCAAACCAAATCTAATTACAAAGTGAAATGTTCTGTGAAGGAAATAAATGACACTTTTTAGGACAGTCAAGGAAGGGTTATCTAAAGAGACGTGTACACTGAGATGTTAAAGCTGAAAAAGGAGTAGGCTAAGCCCCTCTATTTTGGAGAGTGGGCCAACGGGTATACACGCGTGACTACGACATGACACGCGCGTTAGACGTCAGAAGTGCGGTGAGAGATGTAACCAGAGAAGTACACGGTAGGTTTCCACCTTACTCTGGGGTGCCCCCAGAGAGCTTCTCTATCCCTGCCCCGTCCAGGGCTCTCGTCCTTCTGGGACTCCACTGTATCTCCCTCCCCCGCCAATCCCGCCACCCTCGACTCGCTCACCCATCGCCCACCCCGTCTTGAGTACCAACTGCCAGGGCGCCTCTCTATTCCCCGCCCCGTTCTTTGTCCGAGGTTTCTCCCTTCAGGACTCCCCTTAGCTTCCTCCCCGCCCTCTTCCTGGGCCCGGGTCTTGCCTCCGTGAAACCCCCATAAGTCGTCTGGTAGAACTCATCTTCCTCTTCGGCCTCCAGGAGCCCAGAAAGCCGGTTCCCCGCAGTCTTCCGGGGGGCCCGGCCCCCAGCCAAACTCATACCGCCTACCGAGACTGCGCCGCCACCAGCGGCCCCTCACCCAGCGCTGTTCTCGGAGCTCGGCGCTCGACACCACCACCTGCGGGTGGCAGGCGGCAGCGGAAGCCGGCCGTCTCCAGGCAGAAGCAGCAGAGCGTCGAGGGGTTCGTAGTCCCGCCCCCTAAACTGGCTTTGCTCCTCAGCCCCGCCCACTCGCGGAGCTCCCAGCCCTGACTCGTGCTCTGCTGCGTTGTGGAAATTCCACACGGTGACGCTCTCCTACTACCTTAAGTTCAGAATTTGGGCGTGAACAAATTTGCATTTAGAAGAGGCCGGTCTCCCTCTCCACCAGCCCGTTTTTCACTCTGCTACCAATAGGACTCTGAAAACCCAGACTTTGTTACTCTTCCGCTTAAAAATCTTTAATGGCTCTCAATCATCTGCAGGATAAAGTCCAAAACCCTTGGGGCAGAATAGAAGTGTCCTTAAGGGCAGTCTTAGCGCCAGCTAAGAGTTGGAGTTTGAACCTAGAGGTTCTAGCTGTTTAACTTTGGACACGTAGCTTTACATCTCTCTCTGAGGTTTTCTCTTCTGAAGGTTGTTGAGAAGATTAAGAGATGTAATCCTTTTAAACTGCTTCGCATTGTATTTAGTACACACATAGATGTTTAATAGGTGATGACTATTAACGTGGCACTCAAGAGCCTTCATAATTTAGCCTCTCCCTGCCTTTTTAGCCTCACCTCCTGCCACATCATTCTATTCTACCATCACTTCCCTAACATCCAATTCGCTGTCATGCCTCCATGCTGTTCCTTCTTCTTAGAATTCCTTTCCTTTCTTATCTACTTGGCATAATTCTAATTCTATAGGACAATGAAGTCTTCCTGCACATTCATTCTTCTCTTCGCAGCACAGTTCTCATAACCATGGAGATCACACCTCCTTGATTCTCTAGAATAGTTCCAACCTGAAATAGTCTGGTATTGTCAAGCCTCTGTGTTAATGTTTCTTCCAATAAAAAAAAATTTTTTATTGATTTTTAGAGAGAGAGAAACATACATCTAAGAGTGGAACATCTATCGGTGGCCTCTTGCACGCCCCCTCTGGGAATCAAGTCCAAAACCTCGGCTTGTGGTCTGACCAGAGAATTGAACTCCAATCCTTCTGTGCACAACTGGGCCACACTAGCCAGGACTCTTCCCATGTTTTATTCAGAAAGTATGGTTGTCAAACCACAGCACTTATACATACTCTATGATGGCACCTATTATGTTTTATTCTAATGATTTATGTGTCTGTCTCTCTCACTACACTGCGGTCTTTTTGAGGGCAGGGACTTTATCTGTGTATACCAGCAACTCTCAGAGTGCCAGGGACAGATATCATTGGGGGTAGATAATGGTAATTTAATTAATGACTAATTGAACGATTAAATACCCATCCTCTTATTTTACCTCTACATTCATCTTGGCAGCCCCTAGCCCCTCCATTCTGACCTTAGGAACTGTTTTAAGACGTGAAGTTCACTTTAATAAAGCTGTATGTGTGTGTGTGGCCCTATTTTGAGATCATCAGATTGCCCCTCTTTTCCAAAGTCTACATTGGTGAACTCCCTTTTCCATTTCCCTTGCACCAAGCCAACATGTCCTGCTCTGCCCCTGCTTCCACACCCTGTGACGTCACCGAAGTTCTGCTATGCCAGGAATGTTACTGGGCAAGAGTGGCTCCATGACTCAGAGCACACCAGAGATTGAGTGGGAGTGGGAGTAGAGACAAGGTTTAGGGAGAAAAGATGGGAGATACCACTAGCCCAACTTTTTGAATTTTGCCTTCATTCATTCATATACTCAAGAGATATGTATTGGGCACCTACTCTGTACCAGGCACCATTCTAGATCCTTGAGATATAAAAATGGATAAGATATAATCTTTGCCCTATAATGTTCACAGTCTTGTGAGGGAGACTGACATAATACAAGGTGGTAGGAAGTAACAGTATCCATATTTTGGTCCATAAAAGAGAAACAAAGAACTGAAAGAAGCTGCAAAATACAGATCTTTTCTTTTGGGATGATTCATAGATCAAATCTCAGGGAGAAACCCCCCATTTGACCAACTGCCATAGTGAGTCAATTATTGGTCCATTTCCAGTTTCTAAATCAGAAACAACTTTACCTCTACGCTGATTTATTTTTTTAAACTTTTAAAAAATATATTTTAGAGAGAGACATCCATTTGTTGCTTCACTTGTTTGTGCATTTATTGGTTGATTCTTTTTTTTTTTTAATGTATCTTTATTGATTTCAGAGAGAAGAAGGGAGAGGGAGAGAGAGAGATAGAAACATCAATGATGAGAGTCATCAATTGGCTGCCTCCTGCCCGCATCTCCTGGATCCTAGGTCCACCCTCTACTGCTGAGCCACGCCCAGCTGGGCTACAGCTGACTTTTATTTTATTATTATTTTATTATTATTATTATTATTAAATATCTTTATTGATTTCAGAGAGAGGAAGGGAGAGGGAGAGAGACAGAAACATCAATGATGAGAGTCATCGATCGGCTGCAGCCCGCAACACGGGCATGTGCCCTGACCGGGAATCGAACCCTGATCGCCTGGATCCTCCGTCGATGCTCAACCGCTGAGCCACGCCCGGCTGGGCTACAGCTGACTTTTAAAGTAACTCAGAAAATGGTAGCAACTCCATGCCTTTTATGGAAACAAAGATAATTTATCCAACAAATATTTATTAAATATCTATCAGCCAAATCCTATGCTAGATAGTGTGTGCCCACATGTCTAGTTTTTGTACTGTTTAGTTGGTGGGGGGAAGTGTAGGTACAGGCAATCATAAAATACTTCAATGCTACACAATTCCATTGCCATGAAATCACAAATGCAATCCAGTCAGTGGAAGTTTGTCTACCCTTCAGTAGCCAAAGGAGTATGAATATTCCAGCAGGTGGCAGCAGGGAAACAATTATTTTAGATCTTAATGAGGGAGAGGTAGAAGGCAGTGGTTAGTGCCTAGGGATATTTTCTGGCCCTTGAGGTCCTAGGTTCCTTTTTGAGGACTCAGAAAGAATCAGAATAACCAGGTCACCTTGGGGGCTACCAAGCCTAGGATTTTTTTCCATTCCTCTTCATTTATTCATTCCACAAATAATTATCAAGGTCCTACTATGTACAAAGTCACATCACTTGAGTAGCTTGAAGATACAAGAGTGAACCAAGGCCCACCTGCTCCCAGTGAGGGCACATGCCCAGGTTGTGGGCTGGATCCCCAGTAGGGGTCATGCAGGAGGCTGGGGATCAATGACTCATCACTGATGTTTCTCTTTCTCTCCCTCTCCCTTCCTCTCTCTGAAATCAATAAAAACACATTAAAAAAAAAAGTGAATCAAGTGCAGTGGTTGCTCTCTGGCAGTTCATTCTCCTCAGAGAAAGACAGGTCTTCAGATCCCCACCAGAGTTCACAACCTCCAGGGTACTTTGTTAAAAATGAGCAGGGTTAGTGCGAAGACTACACTAGAAAGAGAATTTCTCTGTGTGTCTCCATGCCCTTTGGAACATAGATAACAGAGTTAGAGGCTAAGGGCCTGGATCATGGGAAGCTTGTAATATGGCCTGGTCATCTTCCTTTTTTAAAAAAAAAATATATATATATCTTTATTGATTTCAGAGAGAAGGGAGAGGGAGAGAGATAGAAACATCAATGATGAGAGTCATTGATTGCCTGCCTCCTGCACGCCCCCTACTGGGGATCCAGCCAGCAACCCCCGCATGTGTCCTGACCGGAATCAAACGCCTGTCATCCTGGATCATAGGTCCATGTTCAACCGCTGAGCCATGCCCGGACAGGCGCATCTTCCCTTTTGACACTGTGCCCAGCATTGAGCTTGAGGCAAAGTGTTCATCTATTTCAAATGTCATTCAGAGGAGGGCAAGACTTGCATGCACGTTAAACTAAATAGTAAACACGGCAGTTAGAGCCGGAAGGATACTTGGTGGCATGGGCTATTGGTGGCGATATTTGACTGCTTAAAGTCTCTGACTTGACACCAGTGACTCTGTAGGGAGTTCTTCCCTGAGCTGTAAAATTGAGAGGGCCCGCCGAACTAACTCAAAATGAACTTAGGCAACGCATTCCGGTTCTTTGAAAGAGCCGAACTAAATTGACTCCACCGAGCCACCATAGGGGCTGTCCGCGGACCGGGGCACATGTATTCCACCCCGGGATTCGTTAAGCCACGCCGGACCTGCATCATGTGACCAGGAGTAGGCCTCTCGATTGGCTTTGCTTCTCTCAGGGCCTCCCTCCCCCACATTGAGTGGGATGGAACGGTAGGTTGGGCGCATGCGCAGTGCCTGGATTTCGCTGGTCGCCCGGAGTGGAGCGGCAGGGTTGGGCGATAAACAGGCTGTGGCTAGGAGTCGGGGGAGCGAGCGCTCGCTCTGCCGGGACTTCTCACGCCCCCTTTATTGCTTTAGGTGTGGTTTGGTCCAGACGCGGGGTCCAGCAGCCGGCTTGAGCCTATTCCTTGGTGAAAGGGAAAAGTAGCTCCCGCGGGAAGCGGTTAAAGTTGCAGAAAGGGTGCGAGACGTGGATTGTCCCCATGCCAGCCAAGTGGTGTAGCCCTGAGCTGGTCCGGGAGCCTGCCCGACGTCGCTGAGAGAGGCCTCGGAGGAGGCGGGAAGGTGGCTGTCAGAACGCAGTGTTTGTGAACAGAGTGGGAAAGATTCGACTCCGAGAAGAGGAAGAGCCCGATTGAAAGGGAGTGAGGCCGCTGAGGGGGAGGGGGCTGCCAAGATGGCGTCGGCCTCTGGGCAGTCGGCGGTCGGGTTTTCGTCCATGGATCCCGGGATTTCTACCTGCACCTCATCCTCAGGTAATCAGGGCGGAGGGTAGACCAGGGGGCTGATGACAGCTGTACGGAGAGAGCAAGAGCGAGACCTGGGAGGGTACCTGTAGCTGGGGATGTCAATAGAGTTGCTGGTAAAGAACACATAGGGTTGGGCTTTTAAATAGCAGGGCTTTCTGAGTGGGCAGGGGAGTCTGAGGAAAAGATGGATTTATTGAGGAAAGGGAAGCTGTCAAAAACGTTGACGGAGTTGAGGACTTTAAGTAGTAGGGTCCGGAAGAGGTGGAGATTGACGGTGGGGGTAGGAAGGGAACAGCAGGGTAACCGAAGGGAGTAAAGTAAATGGAGGCCTTATAAATAGAGAGGAATTACTTAGTGTGAGAGGCAGGTAGAATCCTAGTTGGTTGTGAGGTTAATTGAAAATGTGGAAGAGAAGCCATGGGACTTAAACGGAATTGAAGGGACGCTTTTGATAGCTGGGGAGTTTAGGGAATTGGGAGTTTTGTTGGGGGTGGGAGTTCATGGGGACATCTTTTCCCTTGGACACTCCCCCTAATGCGTCATTCCTTCTCACTTCGTGCCCCCGCCCTCCCCCTCCCCCGCGCTCGCTCGAAAAGACACATATTTTATCAAACGTCCTCCCTTGTTGACTCCTGTCTCTAGACTGATCAACTTTGGGACGGAATGGGCAGTATTGAAGGGAGCCTGAAAAATGTGGGAAATTAGGGTTAAAATACCCCCAAAATAGATGGAGGAGGTGGGATGATTAAGTCGTCTGGAGTTGCAGTAGAGGCTGAGAGGGGTGATGTTGGGAATTAGGCCTGAGTAAGATGGAGGGGGGCGGGGGGTGGCCCTGAGTGCTGTGGGGGAATATTGCATAATAGGAAATGGACTGGAAGAATGCTTAGTCGGTGTCAGGAAATTGGCACTTGGAGAATGGAGCCAGGCACTATAGCTCAAAGTATTTAGAAACTATTGAAGTTTGAGAGAGGTCTTTGGAGCCCACAAGAAAAGCAACAGATTGTGTGTAGGAGGGAAAATGTGTGGTGTTGGGATGTGTGTGTGGGGAGTTTGAGTCAGAAACTGTTCTAGAGCTTCCATCAGAAATGTCTGGTGTTCCATAGTGACTGTTGCTTCGACACTGAACAGGATGGGCTACCATATGTTGGATGCTTTACTTGAGATGCTGACATTTCCTTACACCTGGGATTGAATCCTTGCCATTTTGAATTGGCTAAGGAGAGGATTCCACCTTTCATATTCCAGCTCAGATGAGCTAATACTGGTCACAAATATCTTTTTCATAAGCTGCAGTTTTATTTATGTACATCTATTTTTAGTTCTTTGAGAGGTGATTTTTGCCTTTCCTGTAAAGGCATTAGAGAGCCAAAACAACTCATGTTGCATCTAAGTGTAAAGAAGGGTAAAGTAAAATGACAGATTTTTTTTATTTGGCAGGTTCTTAATTTAAATCCTCTTTTCCCCGTCCTCCAGTGCAAGAAAGAAGAATGGTCATGTGTAATCCTTAAACTTCTTAACTATTAAGTTGCGTATTTTCTCTTAGAAACGAGGTTAATCATCTTTTAAAAAAATTTTATTTTAGCCAGAGTGATCTTAAAAACCATGTGTTTATATCCTAAAATTTGACTCAGCCTCTAGCTCATGGAAGTATTGGCTAGGTGGACAGATTTAGGAGTAAAAGGAAGTATTTCTTTGTCACTTACTGATACATCTTCTTTTCCATCTCTACTACTTTAGATAGTCCTGTCTTTTTTAGTATTTACTTATTGATTTTAGAGAGAGAGGAAGGGGGAAAGAGAGAAGAACATCAATTTGTTGTTCCACTTCTTTATGCATTCATTGGTTGATTCTTGTGTGTGCCCTGACCGTGGATCAAACCCACAACCTTGGCATTTTGGGATAACACTCTACCTGGCCAGGGCAGTCATGTCTTTTTTAGATGTCACTATTTGATGTTTTTGTATGTTTTCTGCCAGATCCTAGGGCTTGCAGTTAGTAATTCAGATTGTATAAATGTTTTTTCCTATTTTGTCTTCACCAGAAAGTCAAATATTAGGTTTCAGTGGACTTCACAGCACCTTGACTCCTATGTTGATATCTGAAGTCAAGGTGTAAAAATGTCCAACATAAATACCTTTAGAGTCCTTTTTTGTACTTTTGTTTCTTACTCCCACCTTCTCTGCTTCTTTGACAAATACTGAAACTGTTGGATTAAGAAATTAAGAAAAATTCTGTTCATAAATATTCCTCAAAATATTATGGGATTATTGTATGCAAATATGCAATGTTGACTTTTTTCCTGCAATGTTGACTTTTTGCGTATCTGCATTTTCACCTAGGTTTGGGCTTAGTAAATTTAATACAACATTTCAAAGATATGTTTTTGAAGAGTATAGGATGTTTGATTCTGATGTAAAAGAGGCTATTAAGAATCAGTTTTATTTGTGGTTAGAGGGGAGTGGTGCTCTGTCTGGATAGTACCTGGAGAAATAGGACATTGGCACATTGGCAGGAATAAGTGATGGTTTATGATTTCCTAAATTGTTAAAACCTAGAAGGCTAGCTTTGTAGAAATTCAAAGTAGGGGTGTGTGTGTGTTTTAAGTATTCTAAAACCAACTTATTGTTCTTAGGTGTTTAGCCGAACTCACTTAAATTTTGGTGAAACTCTGAACCCTAAAACTAAAAGCAAGATTGCCTGGCATTGCTGAAAATGGGTACAAAATAAGAATGTCAGGATTCAGGACAACTTGACTGAAGTTTTAAATAAGCCACTCATAACCTTTGGAGGCTCATATCTTTTAGCATTCAAATTAGGAAGGACAGATGATTTAAAACAGTTGTTCCCTGCCAGTATTAACCCCTGTCTAGATTATTTTGCCATTAAGCCAGGGCTGGTCTTTTATGCTGATGACAAGTGAAATACCAAGGGTAGAGCAAACCATATGCTCCAAGCTCTGTTTGACGTCTTTTCCCACTGGAGTAATTACCATGTTTGGATTTTGGGGGAAGCAGTTACAAATGAATATCAGCTTACAGCAGCCACCATCGTTGTGTTCTTACACTTCTCTTTGGTTGTTAATAAAAGATGGTGCAGTTTGCCATCTAGGCTCAGCTGTTTGGTAAGTAAAGGAAATTTATTCCTTCTCGTCCTTTGTCCTGCATCCTCATTATTTGTACAGTGGCAGCAACATTTAAAAATAAAATCAGCCCTGATAAAGTGCTGTTGACTGTGTGACCATCTAGTTGGACTAGTCCATCAAGAACTTGAAATTCAGCCACTGCGTCCCCTTTTAACTACCATGAAGGCAGTAAAGTGTCTCTGTTTTAGAGACTTGATTTGAAGTTAGTGGAAGAGTTAGAAAGTAAAGTTAGAATGCTAGGGTGTACACTGCTCCTCTGAAATAAGAGCTGTGTGATAAAATCACGTGACTCCCCAAGAAAAATAACTTGAAACCTTAGAAGATCATGAACCTGTAACTCCTTTTGCTTCAGATCAGAACATTTCTGAAATTCTCATTCTTTACATATATGATTTTATCATAAGCACAATGATTTGGAGGTAACTTTATAGCTTCTTTCCTGACTTTTTCTTAACTACTGGGGAAAACAGGACACAGTATTGAAGCATTTTGCTTAGGGCCTTGATTCTGGTGACTTTGTTCTTCCCAGCAGGGCTCCGTCAGTAAATTATGCTGTAATCTGATAACTCTAAATGGTAGGGATTTTTGTTGAGGGTTTTTTGTCTGTTTCCTTTGTGTACAGTATGAACTGTTTGTAGGCTGATTCCTTTCCCTTCAGTTCTTCTATACTAGTGAAAAGTAATGCAACTTAAGCCAGTTTACTGGAATGAGTAAACTGAAATTTGGGAATGTAGATAGAACAGAATGTCATGTAGTCAGAATATCACTAAATACCTTTTGGTTTGTATTTTATAAAGACGGAAAGATTTTTCTGTTTGCTTTCTTTTAGGGGTTTTTGACCACCCCAGTCCTTCTTCCTTTTTTCTTTTGTCCCCTTGGTAGATTCTGCCAGAAAACTGACATCAGAATGTCATGGTTTTTTGTCTTTTTTTTTTTCTTCTTTAATCTTCCCCCGAGAACACGTTCATTGATTTTTAGGGAGAGAGGAAGTAAGAGAGAGAGAGAGAAACACTGATGTGAGAGGTTGCTTCCTGCAAGTACCCTGACTGGACCAGGGACCAGGGTTGGGTAGGGAGGATTGAGCCTGGAACCTAGGTATGTGCCCTGACCTGGGAATTGAACCTGCAACCTTTTGGTGTACAGGACACAACTGAGCCACACAGCCAGGGTGAAATGTCATTGTTTTTGATCAATCATTTATTTCTGCCATGGCTGCTCAAGTCTTTGAATATCAAAATAGTATGTTTGCTTGTTAATTTCTGTGTGCTGTTCTGGGTTGATATAAAACTCTTTTGAGTAATAACTTTGCTCAAATATGTGTTAGCTACTAACTATTACATATTTTATCAGCCTATTTTTCTTTGATAATATAATGAAAGCTGTGGCCTGTGAAGTGAACAACAGAGATAACATTAGGCCAAAGACAGAACAGGAGAGAAGGTGGTTATTTTATCATTTAATATGGATATTTCCTAGGATTTGGGGATGTTCTTACTTGACATAAAGCAAGCAGCAAGACCAAAGTTGTCATTTTCTTTTTTCTTTTTACTAGATGTATTTTCTTGATCAAGGATAAAAGTATACTTCAGGAAGTATGTTATCTTCTGATAGCGTGGCAGAGGGAATTTCTGTTTCTCTCTGTTCCAAACATCAGCCCCACCATTCAGTCTCAGAGAGTGGATTAATGGTGTTTCCTAAAGGAAACCCCTTCCTAGCCCATTTCCCTTATTGCACTTCACTTCTCCACCCTTTCCTATCAAAAGAGAGCATTTAGTTTCTACATATGTGTTGATCCTGTTTTGTTCATGTCTCTTATGAGCTGCTTATTTCTTTTAACTGTTTCCTGGTGAAGTGAACTTATTTT